GATTTTTGAAAATTGATAATTTTTGATAATTTGGTGCATGTCCTCCTTCCCTTTAGCAGATCTTATTTTATGTACTGTAATAGGATTTTATAATGTTCTTTCATATAAGTCCTATAAAAGTCCTTTATGTAATTTTTTCTTGTAAAGTTTACTCCTAGGTCAGGAAGGAAAATAGATTTCCTGCCCATTATGAGTGGCATATTTTCCCTATTTCTATTTGAAATGATTATTACTAATATAGATAAAAGCCTTTGATATGTTTATATCTTTAAAAATTATCTACCACCTTACTGAATTAACTTATTAAGTCCAATAGTTTTCTTTACTAGAGTTCTTGGATTTTCTGGACACAGTTGAATATTATATTGTTTTCTAGGAAAAATCTATTTCTAAAACAATTTTTCTTTTAGTTGAATAAGTTTTCAACTTATTGCCACTGAGTTACAAAGTAGTGTTTAGAATTATTTTAATCTTTTCTATATCTATGCATTCTGTATGTTTCTCCTTTCTAATATTTTACTTTCTCTCTTTCCTCCTTAACCAGGCTTACCTGGGGCATCTATTTTATCTTTCCAGAGAACTAATGGTTCTTTTCTCTATACATTTTACCATTTATTTTTTATGTATAAGTAATGAAAATATATGGTATCTTTATTAAATCTACACCCCTAATTTCTCTTTTTCTTTATGTAAATATGCTTTTCTTTGGTCCTTTGTTTTAAATCATAAAAGCATCAAAGGCTATAAATATTCGTCTGTGGCTTGTCCAATACATTTTAATAAGAAGTGTCCTTTTACTATAATTTTACTATTGGTTTCCATTTCTTCTTTGAGCTGAAGTTATTTATGAGATTTTTTTTACCTTTTACACTCATATGTGTATATTATACATATGTACATTTAAAAAAAATTAAATATACCAAGAGTCTTCTATTGAAAATCAGCAGCCCACTTCTGTTCCTCCATCTATCCTATTTCCCAGAGGGAACTACTTTTAACCCCTTTAGCTGTTGCTTCTGGTAGTTAATTCCATTTTTAAAAATAATTTGCTTATATTGCTATATCTTGAGTTATTTATTTTAGACGTTATCTGTTGACTTCCTATTATATGACAGATGAAGGTTTATCTTTTTCTCAACTCCCCCTTCCATCTTCCCAGTATTGTTATATCAATATTTTTAGCTAAATCCATAATCAGCATTTACTTCACTATGACACTAAATAGTGTTTACAAAATGCCAAGTATTATATTCTTGTGACCTTTCCTTTCTTGTAGTGCATGTTATTTTTCCTAGAGTAGATACTTTCCTTGTGTTTTCATATATATAATTTTCAACATTCACTTATTAATTTTTTCCCCAAATACTGCATCGGAGGATCTTCTAATCTATAAAAATCTCCCATTCTTTCTCATCCAAAGTCCTTAATTCTCTTGTGTCGGTCTGGACTGTTTGCTCTGTCAGCCTGGGCACAGCTATAATCCTGTGCTTTTCTTATACAATCTCCTGGTTAGGTTGCACTGTTTCATGAATCTCTTGTCTTCCTCTCTTTTGGTTTACTTTCTTATTTTGCTGGGGTATATCCTCTAATAGATTCCTAAGAAATGGTGTCTTGGAGAGAAAAAATTTTTTGAATACTTGCATAAATGACAGTTTTTTTTTTACATTTTTATTGGAGTATAATTGCTTTACAATGGTGTGTTAGTTTCTGCTTTATAACAAAATGAATCAGTTATACATATACATATGTTCCCATATCTCTTGTGTCTCCCACCCTCCCTATCCCACCCCTCCAGGTGGTCACAAAGCACCAAGCTGATCTCCCTGTGCTATGAGGATGCTTCCCACTAGCTATCTACCTTACGTTTGGTAGTGTATATATGTCCATGCCTCTCTCTCGCTTTGTCACAGCTTACCCTTCCCCCTCCCCATATCCTCAAGTCCATTCTCTAGTAGGTCTGTGTCTTTATTCCTGTCTTACCCCTAGGTTCTTCATGACATTTTTTTCTTAAATTCCATATATATGTGTTAGCATTCGGTATTTGTCTCTCTCTTTCTGACTTACTTCACTCTGTATGACAGACTCTAGGTCTATCCACCTCATTACAAATAGCTCAATTTCGTTTCTTTTTATGGCTGAGTAATATTCCATTGTATATATGTGCCACATCTTCTTTATCCATTCATCCGACGGCGGGCACTTAGGTTGTTTCCATCTCCGGGCTATTGTAAATAGAGCTGCAATGAACATTTTGGTACATGACTCTTTCTGAATTCTGGTTTCCTCAGGGTATATACCTAGTAGTGGGATTGCTGGGTCATATGGTAGTTCTATTTGTAGTTTTTTAAGGAACCTCCATACTGTTCTCCATAGTGGCTGAACCAATTCACATTCCCACCAGCAGTGCAAGAGTGTTCCCTTTTCTCCACACCCTCTCCAGCATTTATTGTTTCTAGATTTTTTGATGATGGCCATTCTGACTGGTGTGAGATGATATCTCATTGTAGTTTTGATTTGCATTTCTCTAATGATTAATGATGTTGAGCATTCTTTCATGTGTTTGTTGGCAGTCTGTATATCTTCTTTGGAGAAATGTCTATTTAGGTCTTCTGCCCATTTTTGGATTGGGTTGTTTATTTTTTTGTTATTGAGCTGCATGAGCTGCCTGTAAATTTTAGAGATTAATCCTTTGTCAGTTGATTCATTTGCAAATATTTTCTCCCATTCTGAGGGTTGTCTTTTGGTCTTGTTTATGGTTTCCTTTGCTGTGCAAAAGCTTTGAAGTTTCATTAGGTCCCATTTGTTTATTTTTATTTTTATTTCCATTCTTCTGGGAGGTGGGTCAAAAAGGATCTTGCTGTGATTTATGTCATAGAGTGTTCTGCCTATGTTTCCCTCTAAGAGTTTGATAGTTTCTGGCCTTACATTTAGGTCTTTAATCCATTTTGAGCTTATTTTTGTGTATGGTGTTAGGGAGTGATCTAATCTCATACTTTTACATGTAGCTGTCCAGTTTTCCCAGCACCACTTTTTGAAGAGGCTGTCCTTTCTCCACTGTACATTCCTGCCTCCTTTATCAAAGATAAGGTGACCATATGTGCGTGGGTTTATCTCTGGGCTTTCTATCTTGTTCCATTGATCTATCTTTCTGTTTTTGTGCCAGTACCATACTGTCTTGATTACTGTAGCTTTGTAGTATAGTCTGAAGTCAGGGAGCCTGATTCCTCCAGCTCCGTTTTTCCTTCTCAAGATTGCTTTGGCTATTCGGGGTCTTTTGTGTTTCCATACAAATTGTGAAATTTTTTGTTCTAGTTCTGTGAAAAATGCCAGTGGTAGTTTCATAGGGATTGCATTGAATCTGTAGATTGCTTTGGGTAGTAGAGTCATTTTCACAATGTTGATTCTTCCAATCCAAGAACATGGCATATCTCTCCATCTATTTGTATCATCTTTAATTTCTTTCATCAGTGTCTTATAATTTTCTGCATACAGGTCTTTTGTCTCCTTAGGTAGGTTTATTCTTAGATATTTTATTCTTTTTGTCGCAGTGGTAAGTGGGAGTATTTTCTTGATTTCACTTTCAGATTTTTCATCATTAGTGTATAGGAATGCCAGAGATTTCTGTGCATTCATTTTGTATCCTGCTACTTTACCAAATTCATTGATTAGCTCTAGTATTTTTCTGGTAGCATCTTTAGGATTCTCTATGTATAGTATCATGTCATCCGCAAACAGTGACAGCTTTACTTCTTCTTTTCCGATTTGGATTCCTTTTATTTCCTTTTCTTTTCTGATTGCTGTGGCTAAAACTTCCAAAACTGTGCTGAATAAGAGTGGTGAGAGTGGGCAACCTTGCCTTGTTCCTGATCTTAGTGGAAATGCTTTCAGTTTTTCACCATTGAGGACAATGTTGGCTGTGGGTTTGTCATATATGGCCTTTATTATGTTGAGGAAAGTTCCCTCTATGCCTACTTTCTGCAGGGATTTTATCATAAATGCATGTTGAATTTTGTCAAAAGCTAATTTTTTTTTTTTAACTTCAGGCTCAATTGATAGTTGAATTTAGACTTTATTTTCACACAGAGATTTGAAGGCATTACTCCATTGTCTTCTAATAACTTTTTTCTCTTAATAAAATTAATTTATGTACATTAGTTTTGTATATATCTCTTTCCTAATACTGTGTATTTTCACTTTCTCTTCCTTCTTTAACCAGTCTTGCCTGGAGTATCTGTTTCCTTTTTTGAAAGAACTAGTGGTTCTTTTCAATATGTTTTACTAATTTTTAGTTTGTATATAATGAAAATATGTGGTATCTTTAGTAAATCTACACCTCTTCTCTCTCTTGTTTTAATCTGGTAGTAACTTTATAAAGTACAGAATAGTAGAAAGAATACAATTAAAAAGATCAGTATTTCTACCACTTTGAGATAACCAGTGTTAACCTATAGGTATATCTTCCTATGATTATTTCCAAGAATATTTTAACATAATTGAGATAGCATATTTTTTCTTCATCCTGCTTCTGTCATTTAACTATATCATTAGTACTTTCTCTTAGTAAATATTTTTGAAAACTTTATTTATAATGAATGTATAATCAATCACATGTAATTTATTTTAACTATTTTTGACATTTGCATTGTTTTTATTTCTTCATGTTATGAATAATGTTGTATAGAATATCTTTGTGCTTGAGTCTTTATCTAAATATTTTATTATTTTCTTATAATACATTCTTAGAAAAGTTGAACTAATCTCTACTATCACCTGGTGTTTATAACATTGTCTACTTATCTGTACCCTTGTTAGCCTTAAGCCATCACTTTTATTGTCATATTTTATTTTCTGGATTATTTTATTAATGTATATTTATGGTGAAAACTATTCTACTTATGTAAGAATTAAGTCTACAGTTTGTCAGTGTAGAGTAGATCTGGTATGCTACTGTAGAACACCATCTTAAAGCATAACTTCTTTATTCTAATACTGTTGATTTCTGTAAAGGAAAACTCCCAGACTAAGATTTCCCAGATGGAGCATGGCAAAACATTCAAGCAGCTAGAGAAAGACAACAAGCAAGAAACACTACTGAATATTCAGCAGAATTGGAAGGTTGTTACAACTCAAAGGTTAGAGGAGAAAATTCATAAACTTCAGAAACAGCTCAGTGACTTTAAATTGTCAAATAAAACTATGAAAACTCAACTGACAAGAGTAAATGTCCTTAAAGTAAGTAAAAAAATGAGGGTTTCAAAAATTCACTTAAGCTTTGGTCTGTTTCTATTTTTGCTGCATGTTTCTCATTGAACTTTAAAAATTAACATTAAAATTATTTTACATACATATAAAAGAATATATATATAATATTAAAGCATATAGAATAATAAAATTAGATGTTACAAATCTACCACTCATGTTAAGAATCAGAGTATTATCAATCCCACTGAAGCCCCCAGGTATCCTCCTCAAAGGTAACTGGTATTCTAAATGTTAGGTATCTAGATCCCTTGCTTTTTGTTTCAGTCATACTTTTGTCTTTCTCACTGGGTTAATGGTTAAAAGTTTTAGTGATTTTTGGGGGAATGCTCTTTGGATCTTCTCTATATCAAGCTTCAGTTGTAGTATTTCAAACATACATTTTATGCCTGAAACCAAATATACACTAGATACTTACTGATCAACTTTTTTTTTCCCCAGGTGATTATCAAGAATATTTCTCTTATTGCAGCCAGTTATTTTCTCTATTTCTGTGTTTGATTAGCACAGACTATAAGACTTTTGAGGACATGGCCTCTTTAAATCCCAAGTGCCTAGTTTATAAAAGTGCTCAGTAACTGTTGGTTATTGATGAGCATGATGGTGGAGAAATGTCCTCTTAATTCATAAGTTGTGGAATTTTCTTTCTTTTCCATTATCTAGCTCTTCCAAAAAAAAAGAAAGAAAAAAGAAAAAGAAGAAAAAAAAAGCATGAGTTATTATGTATCACGCCTGTTATTTAGAGGAATTTTAATCACAGTCATCTCCCTTTCCCCCAACCTTATATCCTCACAGGACAAAACAATTGAGAAGCTCAGGCAATCTTTAACAAAAGTTGAAGCAATGAAAGGGAAGGCAGTTATGGAAACAGACTTGAAAACTACAGTAGACTCTGCTGAGCAAGACACAAGGTGGGACAAAGAGAGGGCCCATCACATGTTAGAAACTGTCACTCCTGAGCTCTGCACAGCAAAGAGCACACTTGAAGAAGTACCGGGACAAGAAGAGGTTTTTCTTTTTTAATTACTATATTAAGATTATTTAAGATGAAGTGATAAACACCCACCTCAATTTAGACTCTACCTTAGACAAAAGAGAATTGATAGGCTTGTGGAATCAAAGGCAGTTAAACAACCAGAGCTCTGAGAAGGCAGGGATGCACCTGGGCCACGGATTAGCACCTGGAATCTTCAATATAAGGCCTTTCTCACATTCTTCTTGGCAGCTCTCTGTCAACTTGTGTGTCTGGCTGACAGCCCCAGAGTTTTACAGTTAGATTTTCTGTGACAGGAGAGAGAATCCCAAGAAAGGTTCTTACAAGCCCAGTTTAGGTCAAATGCCTATCCTTATTGAATTCACAGTGGCAAGGGATGGGATATATGATTATCATAGCTTAGGTTTGTGTACACGTCCTCTGACTAACCAAAGACAAGCAGGGTAGGGATGAGAGAAAAGGAAAGTTAAGGGGAAACCATTTTTGTGGGGCTGGATCACTTTCTTGGACAAGAGGGTAGTGCTTCTAAACTTGCTTAGATTCTCACTAGATTTATAAAGCAGATATTTTAAGAGAATTTTCTAAAGCCTAAATGATAATTTGAGGCTATTGTGGGATTACATGTCACACCTCCATACATGTTTCTTAAGAAACATGAAACATTTTTTTGGGGGGGGGTACACGGGCCTCTCACTGTTGTGGCCTCTCCCGTTGCGGAGCACAGGCTCCGGACGCACAGGCTCAGCGGCCATGGCTCACGGGCCCAGCCACTCCACGGCATGTGGGATAGTCCTGGACGGGGGCACGAACACGTGTCCCCTGCATCGGCAGGAGGACTCTCAACCACTGCGCCACCAGGGAAGCCCAAGAAACATGAAACTTTAATGAATTTCCTTAAGAGATTCTTAAAACCCAAAGTCATGATATTACCATTTTCTTTTTTTTCTTTTTTAACTTCTGCATATTCATTTTCTTAATTGTTTTTATTCTCTCAGTGTCCCTCCCTTATTATATTTTCATTCTGATCTCTTCTTTGGGCATTCTGTAGTTTATTTTTCATTTCTGAGATGTCTTGTTCTTGCTTGTGTTTAATCATCACATCTTTCTTATCCATTAGGCATCTAGATATTTTTTTTGTCCATTTCTATTCCAAATTATTGCTTTTTTTTTTTGGCTGTGGCAGCATGCTGGATCTTAGTTCCCCGACCAGGGATCGAACCCCTGTCCCCTGCAGTGGAAGTGCAGAGTCTTAACCACTAGACAGCCAGGGAAGTCCCTCCAAATTATTGCATTTCTGGTTCAAAAGGTGTTTTTTCCCCATGTCTGCAAATCCTTGTTTAATTGATATTTAATTCATATCAGGTGTTGTCAAACATGTTGCCTCTGCTTCATGGCAGTTTTTCTGGGGGCAGTATTTTCACCACCTGAACAGTTTGGATGATACTGCTTTTCTGTTTTCTTCTCATAACAATTTAAAATGGATATTTGCCATTTATCTATTCACTTTAAAATCCCTTTGATTGCCCTGCCCTCTCAATTTCAGGTGTTTCTACCTCAGGGTACTTAGGGGGCAGGGTATACTTACTAGGCTTCTTAGTACCACCCTCTTCTGTTGACACGGTGAGTGCAGTTGCTAAAGTTTACTTAGGAAGTAAAGCCTTTTATTTTGGGGTGGGGGTTTATGTGATGTCTGTTTTTGCAATACTCTCTTGTTTATATAGGTCCCTTAATTTCCAGTGCTTGCTTTTTTTCTTTTCCCTTGGCACGAAGCCTCTAGGGAACACCTCACCCTTCCAAGTAGCTCCCTCTCTGCTCAGAAACCTTGCCCTCTAGATCGGCCATTTCTGCTCTCACATGCTTCTAAGCCCCTTTCTTTTCCTTCCCCAGTTGCCGGTATTCTGATTCATCAGGTCTCAGACTTGTTCTTCGTATTTCCCCCTTTATGAACTGGGACACCAGAGGAAACTAACTGCATACTCCAGCGTGGGCTCTGCAGCTGCCTCTGTTGGTTTAGAATATTTATTTCCCCACTTATATGAAAACTGAAGTCTGTGGTATTCTTTACTTACGCTTTAGGCATGATTTATGGAGAGTTGTATCTGCTCTCCTTGTTGATCACTATAGTTTTTAGAGAATGGGTGGAGAGATATGTATTTAGGGGACAGCTATTACCTACAGCAAATCAGAAGTCCAAAAAATAATTACCTCATGGATGAAAAACAAGCAGCAATAAAATTAGGTTTAGTCTATAAGATTGTAAAAATAAAAACAAATCTTAAAATGAAAAGGTAATTTTAGATTTCTTGTAATTTTTTTTTGCTTAGAAATACATTTGAACGTAGAATAATGTACACTTCATAAAGAAATGTTTAATAAAACTAAATTTCTAATAACAATTTCAATGTACATAGTTAAGTAGGTGAGCAAAACTAATGACATGTCTTGATTTTTTGTGGTTCTTTGTAGCTTGTTGACTTTCGAGAAACTATTAAGAAGATGTTGGGATTTAACATGAAAACAGCAGACAAGAAAATCATCAATTACCTAAGACTTATTATACAAGTATATGAAGCATCTGACAAATCAAAGATTGCTTCTGCATGTGAGACTGGATAGGATAATGAATAAAGAATTTCTGTCAACCAGAACTCAGCAGACATGGACATTTCCTCCAGCATCTTGAACATGGCTATTTATGAATAAAACACATTTGAAACTTTTCACTTAAATCTCTTCTCTCCTTTGATACTTGGCAATTAACTTTTCTTTGCTGTAATCTTGTTTTGTACATTTATTTGTGGTCTAGTCTAGATTGTTAATTGTAATATATAGTATCTAATTATATTTATTAACTATATTTTAAGCAGGATATTAATCAAAATTTGTTCTTAGTTGGAATATTTATATCTATAGTTAATGGCCTGTTTCTAGAATGAGTATTTTTTTGGTTATACCCCCTTATGAAGCTAGGTAAAGTTATATTCTATAATTTGAATCTATCTTATCTATTTGATTAACTGAGAGTTTGAAAATCAGATATGAAATGTTGAAGGGTAGGAAAGTCATTAAGAATTCTTAAAAATGTGCAATAGACTATACTGTGTTTTAAATTTTCTTAGTATTTAATAGTGTCTGCCAGTTTTCCTAGATGTAGGCCGATATCCAAGTTAATGGACTGTTTTTAAATATATAATCTCTAATTTTTTTCATTTAGAATAGGAAACTGCTCATCTTCCAAGGTAGTTTTAGATTTATCCAAGATGTCCTCTGTAGGAACAGGTCAGAATCTGAATAGGCCAGAGTGGACACTCAGCACCTGCTGTGGTCAATTGAAAAGGACTCCTGTGGGGCTTAGTTTTAGAGGGATCTTCAGGGTGGAAGGTGTGAAGTTACACTGGACCTTATAAAAGTAACACTTTGGAAGAAAATGGTTATCTTGAATACTCATTCAAGGAAAAGATGAGAACAACTTCTAAAATGACAGCCATGGGTCTCAAATGTGTGCCAAGGCACTCTGGAGTCAGCATGCCATGGAGTATTTCAAATTTTAAAGGGAAACAGTGACATTTGACACTAGTCAGGAAAGTACTTGAACTGTTAGCTCCTACTAGTTTATAGTTTGAACACTGGCTCACTCTTCATTCCTTTTGATGACATATATATATATATAATATATATATATAAAACATCTTTATTGGAGTATAATTGCTTTACAATGTTGTGTTAGCTTCTGCTGTATAACAAAGTGAATCAGCTATAAATATACATATATCCCCATATCCCCTCCCTCTTGCGTCTCCCACCCACCCTCCCTATCCCACCCCTCTAGGTGGTCACAAAGCACGGAGCTGATCTCCCTGTGCTATGCGGCTGCTTCCCACTAGCTATCTATTTTACATTTGGTAGTGTAGATATGTCCATGACACTCTCTCACTTCATCCCAGCTTACCCTTCCCCCTCCCCATGTCCTCAAGTCCATTCTCTACATCTGCGTCTTTATTCCTGTCCTGCCCCTAGGTTCTTCATAACCTTTGTTTTTTTAGATTCCATATATATGTTAGCATACGGTATTTGTTTTTCTCTTTCTGACTTACTTCACTCTGTGTGACAGACTCTAAGTCCATCCACCTCACTACAAGTAACTCAATTTCGTTTCTTTTTAGATGACATATTTTTAATGAAAACTGCCCAGTGCTTCTCAGGACTTTTGAATTTGTTGCCAAGGGGGGCCCAGCAGTTGGTGGTATCACTACCAAGTAAGTTGACTCTAGGATCCCTGGATGCAATGTAAGAAGTTCACTTACCTTTCTTCTGAAGAATATCCTTGAGGAAATGAAGGGACACCCTGTCCAGAGCCTCCACCTGCAGCCCAACCTCTAAGAAAACCACCTTCTTGTTCAGGATTCCCCCAGGGTCATGGCCCAAGGGTCAGCTGCCTGCTGCTGCCTCAGCACAAAGAGCTGGAAGGATTGCACAACTCAACGAGCCAGGCTAGCTGTTTCCCCACTTCTCCAACTCCTTCTTTTTGAGGAATTGCAAGTACTGTCAGCTCTTGGGGTCAAGATCTCCATGCAGGTGAACGTGCCAAGATGCGGCAGTGTCTCAAGGAGCCACTTCATAAGCATGTTAAAGAAAAATCTTCTGCGAGTACAGAGTCCTTAGTCTTAACGCTCCTTTATGAATTGTATTAGTAGAAACTGATTGTTCAATGAGTTAACTGTAAAAGATTACCTATGTTAACTCAGAGCAGACAAGGGAGAGGAACCCTTCCACTACCTGGAACAAATCTTTTCTAGAACTGCTTTTATCTTGTGGCCAAATCGCTGCCACTCTGTTCTTCAATGATGAGAAATGAATTTAGATTTAAGGATTTAGACAAATAGTTCTCAACCTTCAAGATGCAGCAGAATCACCTAATTAAAAAATCATTTTTTTTTCTGGGCTTATCCAGAGATTCCCGTTCAGTGAGTGTGGTGTGAGGGTAAAGTATGGACACTTTTTTCAAAGCTCTCAAAGTGTATGAATTGATAAAACTACTTTGGAAAAGTTTGGCAGTGTTATCGGTTTCCTGCTGCTCTAACAAATTACCGCAAACTTCGTGGCTGAAACAAATATTTATTATCCTACATTTCTGGAGGTCTCAGAGCTAAGTTCCTTCTGGGGAGGGCAGAATCCATTTCCTTGCCTTTTCCATCTTCTAGAAGATGCCCACTTTCTTGGCTCATTGCCTCCTCCTTCCATCTTCAAAGCCAGGGTCAGGAAGTCCGCCCAGTCTTTTTGGTACGACTATTTCTGTTATTCTCCTCCTCCTGCCTCCCTCCTCTTTTAAGGATCCTTGTGATTACCTTAGGCCCACTTGGACAATCCAAAATAATCTCCCTCTTTTAAGGTCAGCTGATCAGCAACCTTAATTCTCTTTTGCCATGTAGCCCAATATACTCACAGGTTCCGGAGATTAGGACAAGCACACTTTTAGGGAGCCATTATTCTAGAAACCTCCCACAGTTCGCATCTAAAATTGAACACATGCATGCCTTATGAACCAGCAGCTCCACTCCTACATAGATAGGTAACAGAAATATGTATGTATATTCTACAAAAAGACATTTACAAAATTATTCATGGCAGCATTGTTCATAATTGCCCCAAACTGGAAACTAGCCAAATGACCAAAAGTAAACATGACAACCAGATCCACTAGTTTAAGCATTTAGATCTCCTTCAGGTGTGGGACAGGGAATGCTGGAATTTTCTTAGGGGCCATACAAGAAACTGACCCTAGGTCCAAGACTGGGGAGACGACATATGGACAGCAAGAGTTTGAGGAGAAATGGTAAATTTATGGAGCTCCATTTAGCATGTGTTCCACTCAGCACGGTGGAAAATAGCAATGGCGTGCAAGAAGACTTTAGTTCTTGTTGAACATCTGTCTCTAACCTGCCATGTAACCCTTGTTCAGGTCCTGGGCTGAACTCGAACTTTCTTAGAGGAAATAAGGTTTGCGTTTCTGAGTTCGACTCTAGATTCCAGGCATCCCCAACTATGCTGGCAGAAACATTTTCGCGTCAGATTAATGGAGCTTGCTGCCACATAAGTACAGGAGCCAGCAGGCAGCCACCAGGTACTTTCTTGCCCGGGGACCCTTTCCTCAGCTGCAACGCGCCTGTGTGCAGGTCTGACAGGCTGGGAACAACCCCTCCTTCCCAGTCTACCAGACTCGGGACTTCCAACTACAGACGTCTCCTTCCGCGAAACAAAGGCTATTAGGGCCCCTTCCCTACTCTGAACCTTTGCCTGCGCTCCAACCCACCCTAGCGACAAGTGCAGCTGCAGAGGCGAACTCCACCTTCCTGTGCAGCACTCCTACTCAAGCTTCCACTGCGGACTTAGCCAAACTGGAGGAGCCACTCCCTCCGCAGACGATCGGAACCATCCATTCCTCTTCCTTACAGCCGTTCGCAAGTTTGCGCCTGCGCTCCGCTAAACCAGGTTGCGCCTGCGCAGCCCACTGAGGCGGGAACGCGGGTAACCCTTGGCTGTAGGGCGAGTGCCGTGTGACACTGCGGACGGAAGAGGGTGAAGGAGATGCGAAGGAGCTGGTGGTGACTGGCTGACGGAAATGATTGGCTGGTGGAAAAAGCCGTTCCAGATCTCGCCTTCGTGTGGGCGGGGAACCAGCTGAAGAGGAAATCAGCCCTTCGGTGGCGGGGCAGGGGGCGGAGCCGAGGGGCGGTCTCGCGGGAGACCTTTTTGGCGGGCTCGGGAGGCCAGCGCAGGCGGAGGGCGCAGTACCTGTGCTGGAGCGTTCTGGTCCGGCTCCCGCGTGGGGAGCTTGGCTGGCGTCGGGCTGGCCGGCAGGGGGTAGAGCTGCAGAGTGTGGGGCGGCGTCCGGCGTTGTTGCTCCCCCGCTCTGTCAGACTGGTGTCAGGGCCCCCACCCCGAAACTGAATCGGAGCGACTGGGTGATGCCCCTGACAGTTTTGAAAGCCTTCTCAGGCGAATCTGATGCTCGGCCAAGGTTGAAGCCCAGCCCGCGTGGTTCCCTCAGCGTCCGGGGTAACCCCAGGTTGACCAGTGCGGGGAGGGTCGTCAGCTTTGCGAGTCAAGGGTTTGTCCGATCCCCCACTCACATCTGGGGTTAGATGCCAAGTGACCAACGAGGGCGGACACTCCTCGTAGACGTCCACTCTGGAGAAGTGAGATTGGGCGTTTGCTTGGGGAGCGGGACTGCAGGACTGGGGAGCAGCCCTCTGGTCCTGCAAGTTGAGTCCGTTGAGTGCTGTCTGTGCCCGAGGAAGTTGGCCGGTTCTTAGGCACTCAGCTTACAGTTATCCCGATGCAGTTCTCTAATTTATCTGTTACTCAAGTAGCACCAAATATCTGGGTTTCTTTTACAGACCATTCTTAGGATGGTGTAAGTCAATGGCAGAGCTCATTTATTGAACTTTATTCATTTTCCGTTTTGGGGTTTTGGTAGATGGCTTTTATCTTATTCTTAAATTCTGATGATATCTTACGGGAGCCACATATATGGAATTAGAGAATCTCTAATTTCTTATTAACAGTTTTCTTAAGATGTAATTTACATACCATGAAATTACCCTGTTTTGAGTGTA